CTACATATTAGGATTTTAAGATGCCTAACCAAGTTTACAGTTTTGAGACTATTTGGGGGGTGAGGAGATGAGTCTGTGAATGAAGTGCATGCTGTGTTCAGATCTCCAGGACCCACATAAAGGCCAGGCATGATGGACATCTGTGACCCCAGAGCTGGGGTCAGGGATGGGGAAGACAGGAAGATCCAGGGAGTTCACTAGCCAGTCAATCTAGCCCAGATGGTGAATTTCAGGTTCTATGAGAGCAATACAAGATATTGTCCCCAAACCTACAGTGGAGAGCAATAGAGGACATTCAGCACTGACCTCCAGCCTCCACAGCTTCATGTGTTCATACACGCACACATGAACACAAACACCATATTTTAAAAAGAAAGGAGGGGGGAGGGAGGGTAAGAAAGAGAGAAAGAATGAGAGAGGATAGAGAATTTATTAGTTACAGGTCAAACCGAAGGGGGAAGGGAAGCCAACTAAGCAGAAAGGGATCTAAGTCGCCAGAGCCCCTCGAAGCCTCCACGTTTCTCTGGAGTTCTCATCACCATCTGGGCCCAAACAACCTCTCTGGGGCTGGCTAGCCTCAGCTTTTGGGAGTTAGCTTTCAGCTTGACTTCAAATGATGCATTTCAATTATCAAACTGAGAGTTTCCTTTCCCAGGATCTGACATGACAAACCTTAGCAAAAAGCCCAAGGCCACCATCTGGGATGGGGTCGGTTCCTACAGGCAGAGCTCCCTGTGAAGGGGGAGGGGCAGATGGGTTCCTGCAGCTAGAGATAGAGGTGCTTCCAGCCGGGAGGCAGGGAGGAGGACCGACTGGAACTGTCCTTTACAAATCCTATTGGTACTCCACTTCCTACTCTGAGCTCAGTGCAGGGCACATCACACAACAGAGGTATTTGGGGATCTTTCTAAAAATAGTCAAGCCCCACCAAAACGACCTGCAATGTGTGCACCTCCCATGTCACTACACGCTCTTTAACAACAAGGTTTTTAATAGCTGCAGAATTCTAATTAACTTTTAAAATGTGCACTTAAATCCAGAAAAACCACATATCATCAGGATCCTTTATGAACAGAATAAGCAAAAGGTATCTGAGAAGGCACCAAGTACTGACATCCTTACCACTCCTTGTCAGAAACTATTCCAAAGGACTCTTTGTGGGAGACAGGGGAATTATGAAGAGAGAAAAAATACCTACTCTGCCACTGAGGGTTTCCTAACAATTATGTGTAAGGACACACTATACCCCAAATTAAAACAGAAAAACAAACAAATAGGGGCTGCCGTAATCTAATTAAATCAAGACTAAAGGTTAAAATCAAACTATGTAATCCAATGGAGGGCAATCTGTGATGAGGGCTGGGCAAAGTGGCCCTGTAAAGTCAAGAAAGAGGAAAGACCCTTGTCTCTCATAGCAGAAGCAATGGCTGTGCCCAAGACGAGAAAGCTACCTCCTCAGTCTGTTGGAATTAATTACAGGGTCCTTTGAAACCAGCCATACACACACAGAGACACACAGACACACACACAGACACACACACAGACACAGACACACAGACACAGACACACAGACACACACACACACACACACATATATATTTATTTTAGGGTTTTCTACAGGCCAGAGTTACACAGAGCCACTGCTGTGCCCAAGAAGCGGAGGCCCAGCACCTGAACTCACTCATTGCCAATGCAGTGCTAGCTTAGAATAACCAAGAACTGTGAGTCAAACTCCTTTCCTGATAATGCTTCCATTTTCCCCTTACTAAAACTATTTCCAATGGCCTGCTGACTTGTAAACAACATTAAGTCCTTAAGCAGAATCCATGACACCTGGTCTACAGGGAGGATGGAGACAGGAGCCGGCTATGAACAGATAATCCTCAAGGAATGAGGAACCAGACAGCAGGAAGCTGTTAAGGCAATCTACTCATCAAGGATGCAAGATCTGCAAGTACCCCCATCTCCCAGGAGAGCTTCGGAACAAGATTTTCAAGGCATGAAGAGGACGCACAGGAAGAAAATAAAACGACTTCACGAAGTGACAATTAAAGGAACCAGGGAGAGTCAAGTCACATCCATGTCAGAGTTTCTGTCATTGCTGGAGGCTGTGTTGCCTGTTGGCTGCTCCTCTGTCTAAAGCTGCCCATGCAAAAGCACCTACTGTTGAAGTGGTTCAGGTAAAACTCATCGGATACAAAACAGTATGGAGCTTCACCAGATTAGTAAAAGGTGACAGCCTGAGTCAAGACAGAAACACATGAGCTCAAGGGGGAGAGCCAGACTCAAGGTGGAGAGCCAGGCTCAAGGCGGGGATCTGAGAGAGCAGACAGAGATTAAACCGCCCAGAAGTGAGGATGCTCAAACGCTTGTAAAGAAGTGAAACCCATTGTCACAAGTGAACTTGGAAGAGCCACACTACACAGAGTCAATAATGAAGCTGCTGGTTAGAAAAGGGTAGAATGAGATTTATTGACACTGTACTCACAAGGTCAGTGGATAAGAGCAATGAGACCATATCTAACATAACTATTTTAAAGCAAAGACTGCAATAGGCAGGAACACTGTATTAGACTTAGTATCAAATTTATTGGTGTTTGTTAAATGCACAAATCTAAAACAATCACAAGGGTTAAGTTGCTTCAAATTAATTCTAATAGTGCTCCTAAGCATATCAGGACCCTCTTAAAAGTGACCCAGATGCTTGAAAAACAAATAAGAATGTTTATTCAAAAGTTTAATCACTAAGAACAACTGTTACCATCTTCAAGAGTTCTCTACCAGAACTAGGGATCACACATACCCAAGGTGGACAACATGAGCTAAAGCTATGACAGAGCCCAGTCAGCTGGCAACCTGTTTTCTGTTCTTCCATCATTGCATAACTCGCTGTCAGGAGCGAAGCGCACCCACAGCAGACATCCTGGGTGCTGGCATCTGCCACCGGTGCACTTGCCATACAGCTTTCGGGGCCAACATGTACAGGCCTGACTCCTACAAAAGACCTGTGCGCTAATACAGCCTTCGTGATCAATGACACACACACACACAGCAGATGAACAACAATGTCAACAGCTTTACTCTGGTCTGCCAGAAAGCCAGTTAACCTGGTAGTGCTGGGTAACACATCAGTGGTCGCCGGTGTGTTAGGAGGAGGCGCTGAGTAGATTCGGAATGTGTTCGGTGAATCTCTTGTGAATAGGTAAGAATGTGGACCGTATATAAACAACTGGCGCTCCCCTGCAACATCGCTTACCACAGATGTACAGTAATCGTGCCAGAGGTCACCCCTGCCTACTGAAGAGGAGGCAGTGTCCATTACTGCAGCAAAAAGGCAAAGCAACAGCTTTACCAAAAAAAAAAAAAAAATATCTGCTCTACAGATTTGCTATTGTAAAATTAACTGCAATGTTGCTAAGAAAAATACTTCAAAGATCTTCTTGTTCTGTACACTGCTGTTCACTTAAAGTTGGATGAAGCCCATTATCCTGACCTATTTTTATTATAACAAAGAGACAGGATCCTGGCTGGAAAGCAAGGCTGTTTTATCAATAGAAAAGCAGCGTTTTTATAGCAGAGTTTTATCCCTAACAACACTCAAGTCCATTTTCTCCCCAGAGAACAGTTACATAGAATTATAATGTCGGGTCTGTGGGTATGAAATCATCCCTCTTCCTCATAATTAAGGCACAAACTAGGCAGCCAGACTTTTGTTTATTACGGGCTGTTAATCCTTCCGTATGCTCTTTACCTTTTGCCTCAGTTTCCTCTTGCATAAAGGAGATGAATAGCAGAATTAACTCACAAGACTGGTGTAAAGATTAAATGCATTAACAAATGAAATGGTTAAGTGATAAAACATTTCTAGCATTAAGTAAGGACTCATTTATTATTTCTAAAATAATGATTAAAGGAGTAAAAATTGCTCAACAACTCAATACATTTAAGAAAATTATGAACCCTCTGATAAAACTTCTAATAACATCCTGTACTATTCGTCAAAGAAAATGCCCCTTAAGATGTCACAGAACTATCTTGAAATTAAGAAAAATAAAGCAGTAGCTTTCTCAGCTTTGAAAAAATAAAACTCCTCTCAGGCAGCCCAGTGGTGACAAGCAAGGATGTGAGTGGTTCCCGTGTTCAGGTCTCACTACAACTATAAATTTGCTATTTCTCCAAGCAGGAAAAAGCAAAGCTATTTAACTGCCTTCTTCCTGGGGTTATAGAGCAAGACCTTAAGCCAGGAAGAGTTGTGGGAGTGTTTTCACTCTAGGGGACAGGGGGCAGCCAAAGCTTATCCTGGGATGCCAAGAACTGGCATTTAAACACAAAATCTAGACACCGTGAGTTCACCCTCCCAATTAAAACTTTAAGACTCTTATTAGTAGAGCTTCTATGGAACAGAATGCAACAGATACTTTGGGTACCAAAGTTCCATCTTGGAGCTTTCTGCAGTAGCAAAGTTTCACACATTAACCCTTAGCTTTTTCGTGCACAACACTGCATCAGGCTGTTGCCAGAGGACAGTAAAAGGATCTCGGGCAAGGAACCTTGTCTGCAGTTACGTGAAGCTTCGCCCTGGGGACAGAAGGCTGGGAGGCGCGCTGCAAAGGGACGAAGGAGCAAGGAGCTGAGAGGCACGACGCCTCTCTTTTCCTGGAAAAAGGAGAAAGACGGACCACCTTCCTTCCATCGGATCACAGATCCGAGCCTGAGCAGCAGTGGCGGCGGCAGCGGCGGCGGCCGGGGCAAGCAGCGGCCGTCTGCAGCTGGGCCCCCGGGAGCACTACTGCAAGGGTCGGGGTCGCTCGGGAGCTCGGCCTCCGAGCCCGGGCAGGGGTCGCGCGGAAGCAGAGCACAGGGCTCCGCGCTGCACCGCGCCCCTCCCGCCACCGGAGGTCCGGATGCTCCGCGCCCACCTGGCGCGCAGCCGAGGACCCCACGCCCCCTTCACGCGCCACCCTGCTCCCTCCGAGCTGCGGCTGCAGCCGTGCACCCACCTCGCCGCTGGGCAGCACTCCGGCTCCGGCTCCGGTTGTGGCGGCGGTGCTGGCCGCGGCTCCTCCATGGCGGCTGCAGGGGTGACGGCGAGGGCGGGAGGGGGCACCGGCTCGGCGATGGCGTCTCTCATCCGTGCACCGAGCTTCGCATGACCGCGGCGGGTCGTCAGCTGCAGCCTGGTGCGGGAAGACCTGGAGCCGCGGGGTGAGGGAGTGACTCGACTCCGCCTCCGCCTCTAGCCCGCCGCAGGAGCCGTGCGCGCAGCGGCCATCTTGGGAACGGCGGCCGGCTGAGCGCCGGGCTACGGCGGGCAGCGAGGGACACGCCTCGGCGGACGGCCGAGTCCGCCTGGGCGGGGCCAGGCGGGAGGGAGGAGCGCACTGGCCCGTGGTAAATCAGGTGTCGCTGGGTGGCCGCGGGTGGCCTCGGGAGGTCCTGAGGCTAAGGGCACAGGAGACACTTGGAGAGGTAGGGTTGTCTGGGCGAGCAGGATTGCTTCATAAACTGGCGCCCAAGGTCTCTGCACCACTGGATTCTGCCTTTCGGAATAAGGATGATGTCACCCAGACGCCCACAGTTCTGACATGGAAGTGTGGGCCTTCTGCAGACTCAGACCATCAGACTGACACACCAGTCAGGCAGCAGAGGACGCCGTCCTCACTCAGTATCCCAAGGTTAGAAAGCGCTTTTTCAGAAACTTGTACAGCTCCTACACTGAAGGCGAAAGGAAGGGATAAAGAAATTGTAAAGATTCGAAGCTATTAAAAGAATTGAATTAGCAGAGCAACTTTCATTCATCCTTAGCTTGCGCGGCTTCACAGCCTTTGAGTTCCAAACATGCCATATCTGAAATCTAGATTCGGTTCAGCAATAGCTTTCAGAATCAAATATGTATGTTTCCACTCATTTGAATGTTCTGATTCTTTAAATCATTATTTTAGCTTTCCTATGTAGAGGTAAACATTTTGAACAAGTGGGTTTTTTTTTAATTGACCGAAAGAGAAATTTTTAAGGTAAGATTTAAGAGCTAAGCAAGATAAAGATAAAGATACTCTGTGAAGTCAGCTGTGTTACAGAAATGTCTCTATAATTAAAGAGCACTCACTTGTCACACTTATAGTAGGCTACATTATGTATATGATCTGCCAGTGCTGGATTTCTGAGTTGACATCCCTTTCATTAATTCAACAACATGTGGTCAGTCAACAAGTATTCAGTGCACATATTACATTAGGACTTCAGAGACACTAAGGAAGCAGCAGTGAGCAAATTGCCTAATAAAGGGAGAGAGAACAAAGCAAAAACAAGCACTCAAAGGAAATGAACTCAATCTATCCTAATACAAGCTACATGATTTTTAAATGACCCATTCATTTTCATTGAAAGCTCTGCCGAATGTTTCCCATCTCTCTGTAATTCTGATTATTTTTGTCTCCCTCTGCACTTTGATGACCTGAGCCCTCCTTAAATTGTATGTGAAGAAAGTTGATAAGGAAGCCCCTGACTACTGCCAGGAAATAAACCAATGGGCACACTTGTGTCTCCTACTCATAAAGCACTGAACATAAATCAGCCTCAGGACGAGCCATGACTTTTTTCTTCATTTTCTACTGGGTACCACATATTCAAACAAATTTATATCATCTCATGATACCATGCGATGTGCATAGAATCCCAGATTACTTGGTACTAACTCTGTGTGCAGGGCCTTTTTGCCTCCGCATGCACAGGCAGACTAGCTGATTCTCCGATGGCCTTTCTCGGCAGCACTCTCCCTTGCCTCCAGGGTTCCAGGGTAGAGCCCACAGCATCCTCCCCTCACTCTCCCAGAGCATCTCTTTACTTCTAGAGTGTGGGCTCCTTCAGAGCAGAAACTATTCTTGGACCTATATTCCATCCAGTCACCAAGTGTCTGGAGCCCAGGGCTGACACATGGTAGGAACCTAGCAAATACTGTTATGAAGGCGTTGAAGACAAGCCACCTCAGAACACACCAAACCATCACCTTGCTAACTTTACTCTGAAATGGCTTCAGAAGAAGCCACTGGCCTACCTTCCTGCATGCAACAGGATGTAAAGGTTCTTTGAGGAAGGGCCTACCTTAGAGAGCCGTGCTGGACGATGCTCTTAATCTCTGGAGACTGGTAACTTGAGGATTCTGTAAACCCGAAAAAGCAAACTCCAAAGCAATCCGTATCTGGCTGCAGTCCCGCATCTGCCACCATCTCTCTCTTTCTTAGTAACACCCCTAGAATTAATACGCTCTCGGGTATCCACTGATCCTGTCACTTCTTCACAGAGTTAGTGTCCTTTGTCTAAAATGTGCAAAAGTATCATAATGCGGTTGTTTCTTTGAATTTTTCTCTTTTGGGAAGATCCTAGAAAATCAATTTTAAAAATTGCAATAAATAGATAGATAGATTGATCGATTTTGTGAATCAGCTCTTGTTTTCCTCGGGCTCATCTGTCCACCTGAAGAGCTCACAGAAGAGATAAGTTACATTCACTGGGCCGGCCAGTGGTGGTACACACCTTTAATCCTAGCACTTGGGAGGCAGAGGCAGGCTGATTTCTGAGTTCGAGGCTGGCCTGGTCTACAGAGTGAGTTCCAGGACAGCCAGGGCTACACAGAGAAACCCTGCCTCCAAAAACAAAAAAAAAAGTTGCATTCACTGGATTGGGTGTCATTCCTACACTAGTAACTCCCTACTGTTATTTAGATTTTCACTTATAGATGAAAATTACTGTTTAGTGGAAGTTCTTAAAAATAGTATCATCAGGATCTATGAAAATCATCTCCATATGTCTTCCAGATTGAATTCACATAGCCTCTTGTTTCTCTCTCTCTCTCTCTCTCTCTCTCTCTCTCTCTCTCTCTCTTTCTCTCTCTCTCTCTTTAATTTTTAACTTCAAAAGTTAAAATTCAGGCCTGGGGAGATGGTGGCTTGAGGTTGAAGGTTCAAACTGTTCTTGCAGAGGACCTGAGTTCTGATCCCAGAACCCGTGTTAGACTGCTCTCAGATGCCTGAACTCCAGCTCCAAGGAATCCAATCGAGAGTCTGACAGGCACCACTGGTACTCACGTGTACATATAGCCAGACACAGATATGTATAACTTAAGAACAAATCTAAAACCAAAAGTTAAAATTCTTTTACGGATCTAGTTTAGGCTACGGTACATAACACCTGTACCTTTTATAACCAGTAAGTTCAAGCCCAATGGTGATGCACACACATACCAGTTGCATACATGTCTAAACATTTCTGCTTTCCAAAAACAGTTCATAATCCTGTGGCCACAGGTCATCACGCTTACAACCCCTCAAACTATTATATCTGTGTGTGTGTATATATTAAACACACATGCACACAGAAGAAAGAAATGGGGGAGGGGATACTGTGGTAACACCTTAGACTCCTCTCTACAGTAGTATAGTAGCCAAAAGTTGTCAAAAATTATTCAAAAAGAACTTTGTGTCAAAGTCCGTAAGAACTTACTGTCTCAAAGGAGCAAACGTCAAAGCTGTATGTTTTAACATCATTGTTAGCACGTGATGCATTTTACTTAAAATAACTTTCTCCCTTCCTGATGGTATTTGTGAGCTCTGCCAACCAGCTTCCTGTGTGACCTTTCAGAGACCTTAGCAGCCGTGACCCTCTCTACCCCCAGTGGCTCCTTACAGCTCTGCCCATTCTGCAGAGGCAAGAAGAGTACAGACTCCTACTCTGCTCCTCCTAGAGGATGCTGTTTCACAGTCACTTCAGTGCTCAAAGAAAGGCAGACTCAGAGAGGGACAGAGAGACAGAGTCAGAGAGAGACAGACAGAGAGAGACACACAAAGAGAGAGACAGAGAGAGAAAAAGAGAGAGAGAGAGAAACAGAGAGAGAGAGTGATTTATATCTACCTACTACTAAAACACTCAAACGTTGGGTGCATGTACAATATATTTATTTGACTTTTTAAATAGTCCTTATAGCACTAAGAGTCATACTTCCGAATAGTGGGAAGTTGGATAAAACCTCTACTGGTTTTGTTTGTTTGGATTTTTTTTGTTATTTTTGTGGATTTGTTTGTTGTTGTTTATCTGAGAAGAGATTTGTTTATTTTTGTAATTTCTCCACCAGAACACAAACTATCCTTTATGTGAGGCATTAGTCTCTGTTCAAAGTATAAACTGAGTTTATAACCTCATTAAACATAGGATTAAAAGTTGCATACTTTAGAAAACAAAGGTTAGGGGACTGAAGAAATGGCTCAGTGATTAAGGGCATAAGGACACTTAATACTCTTACAGTGGACCTGGGTTCACCCACATGGCAGCTTATAACTACCTATCACCCTACTTCCACATGATCCAAAGCTCTCTTCTGGCCTTCCCAGGCTCCTGTGTGTATGTGGTGCGTATAAGCTCATATAAGCTAGAACAGCGTGTCTTCTTCAGTGGAGTAAAATGTAATGACGATAAAGGAAGTGATGCTGGGCTGGGGAGATGGCTCAGTGGTTAAGAGCACTGACTGCTCTTTCAGAGGTTCTGAGTTCAATTCCCAGCAACCACATGGTGGCTCACAACCATCTGTATTGGGGCCTGGTCCCCTCTTCTGGTGTATCTGAAGAGAGCAATGGTGATGTACTCACATAAAATAAATAAATAAAAATCCTTAAAAAAGAAAAAAGACAAAAAAAGGAAGTGATGTCTACCATCCAGGAGGAGAACACAGTGGGTAGAGAGCTGAGCGAGCAGCTCACCACCCTGCCCAGGGCAGCGCTCCTCTTTCTTCTGAAAGGACAGGCTGTATGAGGCAAGCCAGCAAGCCACAGACCTTCCCTTCTAGATACTGCCCTGGTGGAAAACAGCTTTAAAACCTGAACACTGTAAGGGAGCCCACTCCTCGTGAACCAAGAATCTCCAATACATCCTACTCAAATACTAAGAACCCGTCCTGCTTCTCACTGATGCTCTCAGGTCAGGGGCTTGGAAGGCAGAGAACCTGCAGCTCCAAGTGCCCCTGTTACTCCAGATTCCTTACAATCAGCAGTGTCTGTGTGTGTATAGAAGCCAGGCTCAGAGAGTAACAGAGACGACTAAACAAGGAGGTCCGTGTCAGTGCCATCTGTCCTTCACTTCCACCCTTCGAGCCGCTTGTTCTTCCAAGTGCTATTTGAGTGGTCTCCACCTAAAAGACTCCCCAAGCCCCATCACCAGCCTCCCAGCCTCCTCAGACCCATCACCAGCCTCCCAGCCTCCTCAGACCTAACTGTTGTCTTCTAGGAATAATTCTGTCAGGAGATTTTCTT